ACTGAGCCTCTACTCTTCCCTGCTGAGGTCTCATCCCCCTCAACTCTAAAGAGCTCCCTCCCGAGACATCAGCCACAGGCTTACTCGCCTGTTTGTCAGGAACCATTACCTCCTGGTGAGCCCCCTGCAGACAGCCGGCTGGATTCCCACCTCCAAGCTCTGGAGATGCATCTGACCTTCCTCCCCCGACGACACCTGCACTCCCAGCGCACTCTGCTGGCCACCCGGCCCTCCTCGGAGCGCATCTCCCCCCAGCTCCTCCCCGTCCGCCTCCCTGTGCTGTCCGGTCCGCCAGGCATGTCCCGGATTCCAACACTAACACCCAAAGACTCCACATTCTACATTAGTCAGCAGAGCCACCACAGAAAGTGACAGGCAGTGAATGACCTCTGAGGCAAGACCCCTGAAGTGCAACCCTTCACCCCTACACGGCTGCTGTGCGAGCCCACACTCGAACGTCAGGTCCACAGAAGGCGAGGCCCGCCTACACTGAGCCCTGGCTGCCCCCTTGGCCCGTCCTCTCTGCCTTGACCTCAGAGAGGGACTGGATGCAAAGTCTCAATTCTTTAAAATCAATTTAGATTCCACGTAGGACTTCCTCGCTTCCCAGATGACCCCTTTGCTGCATAAATGATCCCTATCACCCTGCCAGGGGCGACCCAGCTCACCGTTTGACACCCAAACCTGAAGACGGGCTGGTGGGACGTCTGAGGCCATCCCAGCCCACCGCCCGCCCCTTCACGGAGAAGCTTCTGGTCCACCTGTTTGAAACCATTAGACCAAACTGATGATCCTACAAGATGCTCCGCATTCCTTTGCTAGAAAGTCTCCATCCTGAGCCACACAAATCGAAGCCCTCTTCCACATGCTGCCCTTGTATGACATTCAACCGCAAGCATGACCGGCAGACCCAGCGTGTCCACGGGCACCTGCATCGCTGGCCAAGCAAGATCCCCAGAGCAGTTACTTAACTCCCTGCCCCGGGGTACCCTTAAGATGGGGAGACTTCATGGTAAAGAACCTGTTTCTGCTGAGCTCAAGTCAAAAGCCTACGAAGCCCAGAGAGTGCGAGAACGGTCTAGGCTGGGTCCTCAGACCCCAAGCTGTGGCTCCTGTGAATGAGGAAACCCCGCAGCAGGATGAGGACCGGCGGACAGAGATCAGGAACGGGCTCTCGGGAAAGGCCAGGGAAGGACAACCGGGGGAGACACAGACAGCCTGGTGGCTGCTCGGAGCCATCAGGGGTTAGAGAGCCTTTCCCATTCGCCCCTGACCTTTGCCGGGGGAACTGCACCCATGGCACCTTCCTCTGGATCAAATACTTTCCCAGACCCTGACATTCACGAGGACAAGCGCTGTGACGACTCAGAGGCCTGTCAAATTGGGTCACTTCCTGTCACTAATCCAGGTGACTCGATGTTATTAAAAAAGAAACAGGGAGCGAATTCATTGCATTTTTTACTTTTGATTTTATCTTTGGGTGGTGTTTATTTTCAGGGATTTAGACACCGGAGGAGCCACTGGGTCCTTCCTTTTTTTACTTTTAAATGAGGCCCCACTTAGAGCAGAACAATTGCGACGTTGAGACTTCTTAGGCAAATGGTCTCTGGGGTCTAGCTAGTTTTCTGATAACTGCGCGGAACACCCCTCATCTAACCCCCTGTGCTCCACACCAAGGGGCAGGAAACATGAACCTGGTTTCCACAAATGAAGTCCAGAAAATAACATGCACGCCCACAGTTCACCTTCTAAATTAAGTCCATGTTCGCCATTAACTTTCCACAGGGGACTCAGAGAAAATTAGTCCAAAAGTGGGAACTAAATTTAAAGTTAGGGGGGAAAAAAACCTTCATCAGACCCAAATGTTTGAAGTAGCTTTACCACAAGCTTTTAAAGTTAGATGTAAAGTGACTACCTGTTTGAGAGTTCACCTTGTGAGCCCAGGAATCCAAGTGTTCTAATGTAAAAACTCGGGGGACTGATTAAAGACAGCTTCTGCCCTGAGTTTTAGCAATATGAGGATCACTCTCCACTGAGGAATGGAGGGAGGGAGG